AGAGAAACGTGGGGATGCTTACAATGCGAACACATGTGTTTGTTTCAAGAAAAATGCTTGTTTTGTGATGGTATTTGTAACTGATGGTGGCTTCTATGTGTGTTGCTATAAAGTCTGTGTGGGAGCTGTTGGGGAAAATCTTGGGAGCTATTCAAAAAAAGATGTGAAAGCTATTAGCTAATTATTTGCTGAAAAATATGATAGAGGAAACTGCAAGCATCCATGGCACCGACCCACCCCTGCCAGGGCGCAACACAGGCTGCAGGCAGCATATTTTCCTTGCGAGCCTTGAGTCGTCACCAAAGTGTATTGATAGGCCTTAAGCCCATAGGCAGACAAAGCTGAACGTGGAGGTTCTGAGACAATCTCCCCCTGAAAACAGCTGACCGGTTGACCACGCCACTTGCCTCTCAGCAGTACTAGTACCGACTCAGTGTGAACACACAAAAAGTTGAAACTCTAAGAATCTAAGAGTCTTAGAGTCGTGCAAAACTCACAGCAGTGCGGTCAGGTTAACGTCAAAGTCGAGTAGTCAGACAGTCAATGTCAAAGTCTCTAAACTCAAAAAGTCAGAAGAACCCCAACTTCTGACAAGCAAGCCTGGCAGCCAGGCACAATGACACACTACCCGGACCCCCCGACCTCCCTAAACCCTCACTCACTTCTTCCTTTTCTTCTTGTCCTTGTCGGGCTTGTTGTCCTTTGCGTTCTCCTTCCTCTTTTTGCCCTTGCCAGGCTTCTCATCACCAGGACCACCCGCACCAGGATCGCCACCTGCATCGTCACCTTCACCCTGAACATTGCCAGAGTTGGTGCTGCCACTGGCACTTCCTTTGCGCCTGGCTGATGACTTGAGATCGTCCTTGAGACCAGCCGCCAAGACTTCGTTGATCTGACTCACGAGCTTTGCCTGGTAAACAGGTGGCAGCTGGCAGGAAAACAACAAAGAACCCCGCGGCTTCCCTGAACCCGACGGCTGACCAATGGGGTCAAACTCAAACGGTCAATCAAAAAGACCCAAGACTCAGACTAAGACCCAAATCAAATTCATCCAAATTCCCAAATCAACAAGTTCTAAAAATCAAAACGCGAGATGCTGAGATGTTTAGCAGGTCAGCTTTTGTGACACCCAGACTTGAGCTCAAGAATTTCAAGCACTTGTTGGTTGCTTCACGAAGGTCAACCTTTGGCTCAGGGTTGAGGAACAGGCTAGCCGCTGTCATTGTTGCCACCGTCATTGCAACGTTCTGGCGAAGCACCTGGCAAAATCTAAAGACCAAATGAAGACTGTTTCTGAACCTGAAACGCCAACAATTGAAGCCTTTTTGGAGTTTGGTTTGGAGTCTTGACTTTTGGCGAGTCTGGGGACTGGTGTCTGAAAAGAAAAATAAAGTAACAGAATAGTACATAATCATAGTACCGATAACAGAATCAACAGAAGGATACAGAAGGACAAACGATGACACATCCCCGCACACGAAGCCTTCACCGATTGAATGGGCTCAACCAGTTGGTTACACAGTGCATTGAACTGCTCAGAGCAACGCTGGGATTGGGCCACCATGATCCTATCCAAATACTTGGCATCATCGGTCAGCTCAACCCTCAGCTCAAGAAGCATTTTCACATCGCAATCCACATCCTCCTTGCTGCCAAACATCCACATAACTCCCTCCATTTGCCAAGAGCGAGCGGCCTGCTTCACGGGCCTCACTTGATCAGTGGCGGACGGGCGGGCGTCAAGTCTTGAGCCTTGAATCCCTGAGCAAATGATAACTGATCAAACTGATCAAACTATGATTCGCCAAATCACCAGGGCAAACAGAAAACATGGGTAGGCGGTGGGGTCCGGTGGGGTGGTAGAATGTCCTAAGTTAACCTGCTTCCCACGTTCTCTCCCAAAAAAACAGCCCGGCCCGGCCCCCTTTTGGTCATTGCTTTTTGTTCTGAGTTATGTTATGTTATGAATCCGAGTTGCTCATACTTGTCCGCCAGCATCTTGAATTGGTCTGCATTTTGCTGAAAGCTGGCGCAAAGATCTTTGAACCGCAGGTCGAACTCTTGCTGAAAGTTCTTGCAAGCTTCGATTGAGGAAGGTGAAATGGCCTCCATGAGGTCTGCGTCCATGGAACTCACCATCACATACTGTGAAAGGACATCGGCCAGGCCTGCCAACGATGCCTCCGCCAAATCCTTGGAGCGGCTCTCAATCTTGCTGACCTCATTGACAAGTTTGCAACTCGCCAGAGCATCTTTCAAGCGCGGTGTGGGGCTCACGATGGCCTCAGCTGCGATTTCAGAAAGCGGTTTGGCAGATTCGCTGGCACTGCTGGCGCTTGCCATGGCCTTGAGCCACTTCAGACCAAGCACATCCAACTGCTCGCGCAATCTCTCACAAGCGGCCTTGATATCATTGTGAATCCGTCCATACGTTTCCTCGGCATCCTTGTCAGCGGGAACTTGAGCTGGAATGGAATTGGAAATCTTGTTCAAATCTGCATGCAAGCTGGTGCCAAGCTTGAGAGATTCCAAGTCCGAAACGCTGCCATCATTTGCCTTGCCTGCTTCCTCCCAAGCGGTGGAGAAGGCAAAGACGCGCTCAAGGAAATCCTGCAACTGAGTGAGGGGGGACAGTATGCACCTCCTTCAACACTGCCACGATAAGGCCTGATGGGCGGTACTGGCATGTGGTGCGGTCTGACACTCACTCACACTCAAACTAACCCACCCCACTCACCCACAAACACGAGAAACCTTCTTCTTAAAGCAAAGTTCAAGCTTCCTGCCGTTTTCACGCCTTGCAAGTTCTTGTGATCAGCTTCGGAGACCTCGACCCTGAAAGATGGATCGGGTTTGTTCACCCAAAGACCTCGCACCCAAGTCATCAAAGTGCCAAAGGTCGTGGTCCCATGCGAATCCACCAGAGCAAACAAGCCATCCAAGGCTGAGGTGAGTGACTTCCCCATCTCTGACATTTGTGAGTCATCCGCAGACCCCAAATCTTGGGCCACTGCTCGTAGACGCGTTGGCACCATCTCCTCCAACTCCTTGATTTGAGCTGGATCTTCGATGACAGGCAGCTCTTCCACTTTCAAGTCCTTGTGGGCCTCCACAAGTGAGATGAGGAGTGGGACACACTTCTTTGCCGTCTCCTGCATGGACTGCATGTCCATGGCATCCTTGCCCACTGACAAGACCTTTTGCCAAAGCTGCCTGGGCATGAACGCTGCGCAAACAACTCTTGCAAAACATTCAAATCACCACAATTATCCAACCCGTTTTCAGATTCCATCGAACCCGTGTTTTTAAATATATAGTATATATTATTATTTATGGGCTCCCGACTCCGTGAAATATGCTTAAGCATCATGAATGACTGGCGAGGCACTTCAGAACTGGACATTGCCGGACACCAAGTGTCATCCGACTGCTATAGAGAGTGCAGCTGCCAATGTCCCTCAACCATAGCTTCCATGAATTTCCGATGGACTGAAGGGACTGGTTTTGCAACTCAATCGAGCGAATGTAAGTGCACGCCACAATTTTTTGCAGGTCAATGAACGCCTGGATGCTCAACCCAGTTTCCTCATCCAATTGCTGACCCGCACCATTGAATCCAGTCCTGTAGCAGGGACCCAGGGACCGATATCAAATTATTGACTCACACAAGCCAGCCAACATACATTGAACTGAACATTGAACACATTGTCACATTGTCGTGATGGTTCTGAAGGATTCGAATCGGAAAAAGAATGCTTTCTTAACAGTCGCAGCCAAAACCTTGCCTGAGTTTTTCTGCAGAGGACATCACCTCACGGGGTGGAATGCTTTGGACAATGGAATCAAACTTCTCAGAGGGCATGTTCCGCATGGCATCCATCCAGAGATAGAGGATAGCGGCTTGGTTCTTTGCCAAGATATTGTCCATCACGTCAGAGGCATTGTGCAAGCTGGCAAAAGAGAACATGCTGCAACCAAGCCAGCCCTTGCGGACGGAAATCAACGTGAAAATCTCCTCGGGATTGTTCGCCTGAACGGGTGGAACTGGTTTGTTGCTATTCATCGATATGGTCAATAAGTCAAGTCAATATCAATATCACAAAACATTGAATTCACAGTAAATTAAATCAATCATTACCTTCAGCAACAGCACTACACTAGCATGTCAATGGAATGGGGAGCGGTCCTCGACCACTTTCTGGCCGATGAATGCTATGATTGCGGACTGCGTGTCGGGGTCTACACTGAAATCACCACTGTTCAGGGCATTTGCCAAGGCAGTGTGGAAGGTCGCATCCCTCAGCTCCTCCATCACCTTCTTGCTCTTGAGCTTGGCAATGATCCCCTGGAAAATCCCAATGCCATCAACTGTATCGGAAATTTTCTTGAGGATCCGTCCGCAATCCTCTCGCTGACTGTTGTCGTCTGCCAAGGTCGCCTGGAATTTCTCCACATCAGTAATTGATTGCCCCGCTTTCTTGAGACGTGACTGAATCTCATTCTCACGGAAGGAGTTCTTCCAGATGGTAAAAGGCGTGATCTGCTGAACTGCTTTCAGGTTTTGCTCTGCGGTTTGCAGCACTTTTGACTTGCCCAGGCCCTTGTCGTCCTTCCCCTGCCCCTTCCTTTCTCTTTCTCTGCCTTTGGGGGGCTTTGGACCACCGCCGCTGCCACCGCCGGTACCAGGTGACGGGCCACCAGACTCATGCGGAGAGGGTTTTGGCGACTGAGCCCGAACAGGAGAAGCGTCATCAGAATGCTTGGGATCTCCTTTTCCCCTCATGCGACGCTTCTTCTGGGGGGAGGTGGCCAGCCCCAAAGCACTTGAGTGGCTGCTGCGGTCACCATCATCATCGGACTCTCCGCTGCCTCCGTCAAGCTCCTGCTCTGTCGCAGCAGCAACCTCTGCCTATCAGGAAATGATGGCAAGACTAAGGGGATGCAGTGATGCAGAGTCAAAGTCCCTTGGGTCCCCCCCATTGCAAAAGATTGCAAACAACCTACTCGCCGCTACCTAACCACCTTTTCCGGCCAGCCTTGCTATTGGACTGGACATGTAGGTTCTGGGAGTTCTTGCGATGCGCTGCATCCCTCTCTTCACGGCCACGATCACTAAAGTTCTCCTGCTTGATCTTGGATGAAGAAAGCCTTTTGCCAATTCGGATTTCCTTGGAGTCTTCGTGACCTTCCTTCGCCTGAACCACACCGTAGACACCTTTGTCGTCCTTCTGCAAGCGGAGTCCTTTGTTCAAAAGGAATTGCTTGCGCGCCGTGTCGTTGCGGAACTTCTGGTCCGGAAACTCGCGGTCACAAAACTTCTTCATGGATTCCCAGCTGAGTACCTTGGCTGGCTTTACCAGTCAGAGTCAGAGTCATGGAGTCAGTCATGGTACTAGTCATCGGAAATGAAAATGTCATGGCGGCAGCCGTCGCAATAAGTTTCAACAACAAAGACAAAGTTGAAAGGAGCTGGACCAGACTCAGTCTAATCTACAACCTAGGCACTTCAGCAACATCGATGTATTCAGACTCTTTGCGCTCAAGCAGCGCCTGGACATCAGGCTTCTCATGTCTGAATTTTCGTCCAGGGTGTGAGATGCAAAAAGCAGTCGCAGCGGCTCGCATTCTCCCAAACCTGGGTGGCTCAATTGTTTGTTGTCAGTCTGAGTCGGTCAGTCTGTTTGTTTGGGAGATTTCAGGCCACAGAAACACTTTATCTTCTGTGCCGCCTGTGCCCCCCCAACCCAACAAAAATCAAAGCCAAAGAAACTTGTCCTCAAAGTCGGGATTGTTCTGCAGGTGCATGATCAGGTCTGAGGTGGACATGTTGTCTAGGCTGCCACGCTTGGAATAGAAGCATCTCTTGCAAATGCTGAGGTTGTCTTTGAACATTTCAACAGGCTCACTGTGGCCTGGAGGATTGTCCTCGCAAGTCATCAACGCGCAAGGGTCAGACAGGGAGACAACCACCCAGAAAAAGAACAAAAAAAACAAACCAACAAAAACTCAACACAAATCCGGGCAGAGTCTGACGAACAGTCCAGTGAAAGTGAAAGGAAGTGAAAAGGATCAGGACTCAGGACCAGCAACAGTCCTTGTCAACAGCACCTGCTATTTGCTTGCAGGCCAAGCACTGACAAGGCGCAGAGGCCCCACCGCCCCCACAGCCCGACATGATCGATGCAAGGCGCAGGCACAGGCAAAAGTTCCGATCACACAGAGATCGGGGGAACCTAAAGAATGGCATTGAAGCAAACCCGGCCAGGCCGGACTTTCTCTCTCAAATCACACATCTCAAATCACACATCCAAATCCAATCATCCAATATAACTATTTCCCAATTAGTTCCAACACTCCGAACCACGAATCCAAGCACTCAAAGTTTGGTGACTGTCGGCTGTTGTCATGTAACATTCTGTGTGTCACATTGCGGTCGCGAAAGTCATGAGTCATATGTTGTGTGTCCACGTTTTTTTGTGGCGACTCCTAAATCCTAAACTCCTATTCTTGGCCATTGACTCCACGGACCCGGGGTCCGGAGCCCATCTCCAAAACTGTGCAAAACAGCAGCAGTCTCACCGCACTGTCACTCATTATGATGAAGCTTCAAAACTAAGGCAGTCACAAATTGGAAATTTGAGATTCTGAAGAAAGTTGAGGTTCAGTACAGATTGTACAATTTGCTGTCTTCTTCCGATTTACAAAACAGTAACCAACATGGTAACATGAGCCTGCGCCTGCGCTTCATCAATCCCACTCACCCAAGATGAGCGTGCGGCCTTCAGAGTCTAGACGCGCGCTTCCTGTGGCATTAGAGTCCGGCTCAGAATTAGAACCCTCAGAACTGGTAGCCGGTAAACCTTCCTCGTCACTGCTAGCAGCAGCAGCATTGTCAAATTGAAGTTGGAGAGCAAGCGGAGAAGGTACTTGAACCACTGGGAACCCTGACTTTGTAGGCAACATGTATGTCATCACGGAGAACATGGCAGCAGAAAGGACACTGATGGTCATTGCATTTCCTGGCGGACAAACTGACAAACAAACTGCTCAAGTTACACTTGCCGGTGACCTAACCTGCCCAAACTCAAAGTTCCAGTCAGTGGCTAGCCTGCCAAACGGTTCACAAAGCTATATGAAGTTTCCCCGGCGGTCAAGTGGAAGCGGCTGATGTCAAAGCCTTGAATCCCCAAAATCTCCTCAGAGTTTGCCGTTTGAGAATCAAGTCGAGTCAGTCAGTCTGAAAAACTTCAAGCTTGCATGAGCTTACGATTTGATGAGATCAAACAATGTCAAGTATCTTCACCGCGTAGCAGCCTACCCAATCGAAAGTCCCAGAGCTTGTTTTGAGTGGTAATGGCAGAGCATTTGGACCATCGGCTCAAGCTCATTCGACCCAAACTGCCTTGGAAAGCAAGCAAGACCGATTCGCAAAGAATCGCATTCAAGTGGTTTGTTTGCCGCGTGCCGCATGCCTCTTACAGCAAAATAACCAAATCATATTTGTGAGCACATCACTGCTAGCTGCAATGACAAGATTGGGAATGGGTCGCAGGGCAGGCTGAGGTAGGAACGGGCCAAGTCGACCAAATAGGCATGCTTCTCTGGCTTGCCTCCACGATCCTTAAAAAATAGGATGTCAAAAGTGTGTTTGATTGGTCGGTTGGCTGCTCAAGCTTTCTGAAGCAGGATCGCAGTGAACAGTGAACAAATAAATTCTTTGGGCTTTGGCCACTTTGACACTTCACTTGAGAACAAAAAACTGGCCACGTGCCACGGCCATAGACCACTGCAAAATGACAATCCCACACACACACACACACACTGGTCACTGGTCACACTCACACTGTCATCTTCCACAGGGGAAAGCAGTTGCAACTTGCAACCAGAACTACCCCGAAACCTAGCGTGTTTGCCTATCTACCTGCTTTGGTTGTTCAGTCCAGTAGTCATGTGACATGTGACGTGACACGCGTCACTGTGCTGTGGGGTGCGGTGTATGCATACTGTACTGTATCGTATTACTGTATGAGTTACTGTATGCTGTACGTTTGATGATGTAATTCATTTGACAAACCCATGACCTTGCTGCTGCTGTTGACGCATATGATATATGTTATATGTTGTGTCAACAAGTCCTTCAAGTAACGACTGATAAAGTCTGATAAAGTTGAAAAAACATATGCTTAAAAAGTAGCTACAAAAGTTCAGAGTTCTTGAACAGCCGGAAGCGGTCACGACGGTTACAAGCGCTTTGGAGGAGGCCCTGGTACAAACAGTCTGGGACGGTCCGGACGGCTTTTGGCTGTTTCACATCCACACCATTTGCTGAAAGCTATTCCGAACGGTTTCTGACTATTTCAGACTATTGGTCTCCCCAGGATTTTTTTGCTTCATGGTGTGTGGCTCTATGGCTGGAAGCGGTCCGAACGGCTTTTGACTGTTCGTGATTTTGCCCAATCTTGCCGACCTGGATAGGGGACATTGACATATCTAGTGAGCAATAGTCAAACAAAAATATGTACAGACCAGCGTTAAGTAAGGACGGTTGCTCACAGAAAGATAGTCTAAGTCTAAGTTTAGATATTTAGATAATAGATACGATAACTAACTAACTAAACTAACTAACCGATAACAATATAATATAACATATCATATGCGGGATGTGGGGATCTCAGGATTATCATCATCGTCATCATCCATTGTCCGTTATCAGTTATCTATCACCCTTAGCCTCTTGCTGCTTGCTTGTCACCCTGACCCTGACTATGGCCCTTTGCGTGTAATTGCTGGGGTCAGTGCTTTGGAAAATTTCATACTCTAATACTCCGGACTCCGTACCATACCCCTTACTCCCTCCTTTCAACAAAAGGCTTTGCCAAGGAACTCTGATGTCAGCCCACATGATGTTCAATATGGCTTTCTCGCGGAGTGTCAGGGGAGTGAGGCATTCAGGTAAAACCTCCCCAGTCCCAGTGTAGGGCTCCAGCTGCTCCAACGGACCTGTCCGTGCTACGAAGGATTTGGACACCTTTCAGAAATCTGCCTGCGTGATTTCATGTCATGTTTTAAAAAAAAAAGAAAAGTATTTTGATTCTGGACAAAATCTGGGTCTTGGCAATGGCCTTGCCTCGCTCCTCCTGGTCATCAGCCTCTACCAAGCCCAAGCGTTGCTGCCATTGGGAAATCTCTGCCAGGGACTTCTCAGACAGCGGCTTCTTCCTGGGGCGCTCCTGGAATGATGGGGCCCACAGAAACCCCAGACCCTGGTGACTGGTGGCCCCTGCTGCAAAATAAACAGTTGCGCTGCAGCACTTTTTAGTAGTACAAATGGCACTCCAGAATAGCCCAGAATAGTCAGAAACCGTCCGTAATAGTCAGAAACCGTCCGTAATAGTCAGAAACCGTCCGTAATAGTCAGAAACCGTCC